AGGCTGGAGTGCAGCAGCACAATCTTGGCTCACTGCAATCTCCGCATCCTGGGTTCAAGCAATTCTCCTGCCTCAGCCTCCCAAGTAGCTGGGACTACAGGCGCACACCACCATGCCCAGCTAATTGTTGTATTTTTTAGTTGAGACCGAGTTTCACCATGTTGGCCAGGATGGTCTTGATCTCTTGACCTCACGATCCGACCGCCTCAGCCTCCCAAAGTGCTGGGATTACAGGCGTGAGCCACCGTGCCTGGACAATTTCTTTGAAAATGTATATTACAGTTTGAAAACTAAACCAAGTGGACAAATAAGCAAACAAATTCATTGAAATATTTATTGCATTGAGTATATAGTTCAATTATAGAGAATGTTTTTAAAAGGTTATTAATTATTCCAAACCATGAACTTGGTATATCTTTTCATGTATTTATGTATTTAAAAAGTTCTTTTGAAGGATTATTATGGTTTTATTATAGAAGTTTTGCATATCATTTGTTAGAGTTAGGTCAAAGTATTTGATATTTTGTGATGCTATTTAAAAATACAAAACTTTCAAAATTTTAATTTATTAATGTTATTGTTAGTATAGAAAAATGTAATTAATTTTTAAAATTTTATTATTATTTTTTATAAAAACAGAGTCTCCCTACGTTGCCTAGGCTGGTCTCAAACTCCTGGGCTTAAGCAACCCTCCTGCCTCGGCCTGCCAAAGTTTTGGGATTACAGGTGTAAGCCACCATGCCTGGCCAAATTTTTATATTGGCTTTGTATCAAGTATCCTTGATAAATTAATTTGTTAATTCTAATAGTTTTTCCATGAATATTTTAAATTTTATATACACATAATCATGCCCTCTGTGAATAATGATAGTTTTATGTTTTACTTTCTAAATTCTTTTGTATTTTTATTTCTTTTTCTTGTCTTATACACTACGTAGAGCATTTAGTTCTGTGGGGACAAGACAGTATCTTTGTCTTGTTTCTGGTCTCAGATAAATACATATTACCACAGTATACATGTTCCTTCATTCAGTAGGTCTGCACATTAAGGGAGACCCTTTCATGCTTAGCTTAAGAGATTACTAGACATTAAATTTTACCAATTACTCTATCCTATCTATTGGGCTGCTCACATTAGTTTTTTCCCTCTGTTAATATTTTAATGTTCAATTTAAGGAGTTTCCAAATGTTAAATCAATCATACATTTTTAGGATAAATCTAACTTGACCTTTATATATTATCCCATTTGTACATCACTGTATTCATTTTGTAATATTTTTGTAGACATAATGCAATATGTTCTTTATTTATAAACATATATAAAGAACAATTATGTTCTTCATTTTTCTGCATAATCATGCTTCTATCTTGATTTATGTTACTTTTCTTGAACAATCCCTTCTAGTATTTCTGCTATAGCAAATCTGTTGGTAACAACTTCTCTCTGATTTGGTTCTTTGCAATGTCTTTTTAATCCTTTAATTTAAGAAGACATTATTAGTGAGTATAGAAATCTATGTTGGCAATTTATATGTTCTACTATATTTTTAGAAATAGCATATTATTGTCTCCTTGATTCTAGAGTTTCTTTTGAGATATTTACTGTTAGCTTTATTATGGCTCCTTTGAAGATAATTTCCTCTCTTGACGTGCTTTAAAGATTCTCTTTTTATTTTTGTTTTCCAGTAGATTTACTTTGACATTTCTGTGTGGATCTCTTTTTTAAAAGATCCTGGTTTAAATTTTTGGGTCTTTGGTTTGGTTTTGTAATCTTCAGCTCTGTTTTTAATCTTTATCTTTTAAATATAGCTTTTGACCTGCATTGCAACTCCTCTCTTCATATGATCAAATTACATGTGTAACTTTTAACATTTTTCACATTTTCTATTTTTAAAAATATTTTCCATCAACTTATTTTTCTATGCTTCATTGTGGATATATCCTTCCAATTAATCTTTCAGTTTATTTATTATCTTTTCAACTGGGTATTATTTGCTGTTATCTCACCTATTGAATACTTATTTTCAATTAATGCAATTTTTAAAAACAAAATTCCCAAATGATCATTATTATTTCCGAGTTCATGGCTAATATCTTTTCATCTAGTTTGTTATATATAATAATTATAATTATTCTATAATCCCATTGCCTGGTTCTTTGTTGAATATTTTAATTTTCTTTTATTTTGCTTGTTTATTTTGGGAATTATTATTTTTTCATACTTAAAACAATTTCAATGCTGGACATTATGAAGGAAATCTTGTTAGGATACTTTGAGGCTATCAGTAATGCTACCTATATCATAAATGTTTTACTTTGGTTCTGTTAGGTAGTTAAGTAAGAGCACATCACCTTATTTTGATTACGATAGAGCTAATTCTAAACTAGGCTATATAATTTGTAAAGGCCTTTTTTTTTTTTTTTTTTTTTTTATTTTTTTTTTTTTTTTTAATCTTCACTTCATGGGTACTACCTTGGTGATACATTTCCTCTGTTCCATGACAAACTCTGACCTCTGATGCTTCATCCTGTTCAATCCATGATACTACTAAAGCTTTTCTCACAGTATCAGTCTTTCTGAGCGCTCTTCTAAATTAGAAAATATAAAGTGCATGGCAGGGTAAAGCAGCACCAAAGGCAGCTTCATCTCTCTTAAATCTTCATTATTTTGTGGGATCTTGATTTTTCTATCTTTGCTAATTTGTTAGTTACCCAGTGCCTTAAACACATGTTTAAATATTCTTTCCATTTTTTCTAGTTTTATTTTTCTTGGCAAAAGCATCAGTCTCAAATAATCTAGTTTCTGACTGCTAGAAGTAGAAATCCACCAAATACCTTCACCCAAAAATCATATCACAAGTAGGTTATCAACATTTGCTTTGATGTAATTATGTATTTCCCTACCTTCCTTTGCATACAAATCATGTTGTTCATAGAATATGATACTCTTTTTAAAACATTTCTATTGTTTTTGCTTTCTTAGTGTTTATTTAAAATGTTTTTTCTCCTTTGGGAAATGATGCAGTTGAAATTTTTCATAGGATACTCCTTTTAAACATTTCTATTATTTTTATTCTCTCAGTATGTATCTTTAATTTTTTATTCTCTTTTGGAAAAAGTTGCAGTTAAAATTGCATTATATTTCTGAAAATGTCTTTACTTTTCTCTCAGATATGAATAATGGATTGAATGAACATTAAATTCCAAGTGCAAAATTATTTTTTGGATATGAGTTTTTAACATCCACTTTTGCATTTGAGAATTCTGATCTCAGTCAGATTATGTTTCTCTTTAATCTATGCTATTTTCTGTATCTCACTTGAACTTTTTCTGTGGAATGGTTCAAGATTTTCTTTTTATTTGTTGTGTTTACAATTTCCACCAAATACTAGTACCTAAGTTCCTACTGGGCCTCCATTGAAACTATCAGTATTAAGCCTTAAATAATTTTTCAGCTGTAGAAATGTTCTCTGTTATCCTCCCCTTCTTTATTTTTACTTCACCTTCTGAAACTTAAATCTATGTCAGAAATACTTATGCTCAAAAATATCTTGACACAGAAATTTAGACAATATTTTACAATAAATATCCAGACATAAAATGGCTTTATCAGGTGAATAGCTGACACCTCATTACTTTAAGGAATAAAGGATATTAAATGATATATGTGGAATTAAACTGATGATATTAAAACTTGTGGACATATTCTTCTTTTTTTAGTTACTTTGATATTAACTATTCCCATTGAGTTTGTATATATTTTGTATACTAAATTAGTAAAAAAAAAAAATCACTAGAAATGTGATAGAATTGGGTGAAATGATTGTGGTGCTAACTTTCAAAATCAAATTTGACCTTATCTCTGCTTGAACAATATTCTCAGTTTTTAAAATGAACTTTAGATTGCCATTTTTTATTTTCTATTGCCATTTTTGACAACCATAAATGTGTCGTTTTTATCTATTTTGGACATTTATATGTTCTTATATTCATTTTTGCATTCAAAATTTTTAGTTTCTTTGCAATCTTATTTCTGTTCCTGCTTTCTTTTCTAGATGTTATTTTTTTAAGTTCATGAGTAATTTCCCTTTTACTTCCTACATATTTTAGTGCTTAACCTAAATCACCCAGTTAAAACACGGTAAACAAAATAAATATGAATTCTTGTTCTCTCTCTGTTATGTGTGGCTAAATCTCCTGTTTCTGACCTGTGTCTCATACCTACTACCTCCACTTTACTTGCTTACACTACCTACATGCCCATTCTTCTCTCAGTGGCCTTATGTCCTCTATTTGACTATCTTTTATGAAAGAAATCTTATTGCTACCTGAAAGAGATTTAAAACACTTTTTCAGTGAATTAAAGTGATTCTCCTTGAAACTTACTCTTACATGGCATATTCTGTGTCAGGGATCAATAGATAACATCATTGCAAATACACACTCAGACACATCGACACACATGCATCTAACAATTGCTGCCAATATGTTTTTAGAAACACACATATACATACATATACTAAATAAATATACACACACATCTGTATAAAATATACATATGTATAAAATTGATAGTCAGTTTTGATGAAAACAATTTGTTAATCTTATCACAAATTTTATCTTTTTAGGACTTACACTTTTATAACCTGCATGAATTACCTCTCATTCAATTAATGTTTAGCAAAGAGACTTTTTACCCGCTCCTGGATTTGCTTGGTCCTGATTCCATAAATGACTGGGTTAAGAGCAGGGGGAATGACTACATAGAGGTTAGCCAGGAGAATATTGATATACTGTGGGATGCCAGGACCAAAGCGATGAGTGAGAAAGGAGAAGAGAGCTGGGCCAAAAAATACTAAGATGACACAGACATGTGAGCTACAGGTATTAAGAGCCTTCAAATGGGCATCTTGGGAAGGGAGGTGAAAGACAGTGCATAAAATTCTGGCATAGGAGATAATGATAAGAAACACATCCAGAAACAAGATAAAAATATTCCCAAGACCATAACAGACATTGACACTGATGCTGGCACAAGCCAGACGGGCCACTCCCATGTGCTCACAATAGGTGTGAGGGATGATTCTATGTCCACAGTAAGGCAGCCTCGTGAGGAGAAAAATGATGGGTGCAACCATACATAAGCTTCTAAGAACCACAACCATAGCAATCACACCAATAATTCTGTTGGTGAGGATCATAGTATACCTGAGGGGGTTGCAAATAGCCACATAGCAATCAAATCCCATGGCAAGAAGTACAGTGCTCTCCATGACTGTAAAAACATGGATAAAAAAGACTTGAGCAGCACAGCCCAAAGCACAGCTCCTGCAGGCTGAACCAGAAAATGCCCAAAATCTTGCGGATGGTAGCTGTGGAGAGACTCAGGTCAATCACTGACAGCATGGCCAGAAAGTAGAACATGGGTTGGTGGAGTTTTTTATCAGTCCAGATGACAAATAGAATGATAAGATTTCCAACAAGAGCAATCAGATAAGCACAGAAGGGAAAGCCAAGCCAGCTTTGTGCAGCTTCCAATCCTGGAATTCCTAACAGGAAGGGAGAGGGATGAGGTTCAGTGACATTGAGAGAAGACATTCTTCTGCCAGCTGATGGTGGTCATGGCTTTAAAAGTTGTTCTCAGCTCCCATTGGGCAATTTATCCAGACTTAATTGAGATCTAAAATAAATAAACAAATTCCCAAGCAAAGGACTGGTATTAGGAATACCTTTCTGTAAAGGCCTTTGATCTTTTTTCTCCTTCTTTTAATTCTCCATAGATAACCGTAGTATCACTCTTCACCTGCACTATGAATGTGAGAAGATGAGCTGCCAAGTAGAAGCTTGTACCATGTCTCTCCTAAAATTGTGAGTTCAGAATAAATAAATGGACTTATTCCCTTCTCTCAAGATATAGACACTATGAGATGATGGAAATAAAATTTATAATAATAATCACAACAATAATAATAGCTATTATTGATTACATATCTACTTTTTTTTCAGTCATTGCATCTACCACTATTTACATATATTATTTAATTTAGTTCTCACCCCATTTCATGACACAAGTTCTACTGGTATCTGAGTTTATGGAACAGGGAAGTTTGATAAGTGAATTAACCTCCCATCATTTACAAAGCTAATAAGCAGGAAAGTCAAAATTTGAAACTAGGTTGAAATTCAGGTATGTGACATTAATCTGGGTCTATATTTGCAATATTTTCTAACAGGTATAGTGAAAGGAAAGAGAAAAGAAAGGAAAGGAAGGTATGAGGAAACATACAAAAATTTAGAAGAGCCAAAACTTCTTCCAAGAGGAATAAATCTGCAGGATTTACACTATAAGATACTGAGACTTCTTATAAAGTGATGATAATTTTAACTGTGTTTTTCAAAAAAAAATCATGGAAAAAACCTCAATACAGCAGAATTGAGCCTAGAAACAGATCCAAACATTTTCTGGGGTCTAGGTATTTAGAAGTAAGGTATTCCCTAGTGGGAATTTAAAGTAAATTGGTAAGGGAAGATGATTATCTGTGAAGCTTTCCCACCATATGAAGTTCTTTTACAAGATCCTATTGACCTTGCTGACAGTTTAAAGAAATGTGATATCAAATTAGATAAACCTGGAACTCAATAAACTTCAAAACTTGAGGGTACATTTCTGAAGACTACCCTCACTTCTGACATTAACTGCAATTTCAGAGGTTTTCCAAAATCACCCTCAGCTTCAATAGTTCGCTAGAAGGACTCATAGAACTCACTAAAAGCTATTATGTTCATGGTTACAGTCTATTACAGGAAAAGGACACAGATTAAAATTAGACAAAGAAAGTGATGCTTAGAGACAAAACAGGTGTCCAAATGTGAAGCATTTGTTGTCATTTCATGGAGTAAAGATGCATTACCCTCATGGCATTAATGTGTGACAATATGGATGAAGTCATATTGTCAACCAGGAAAACTCTCCTAGGCTTTGGTTTTCAGAGTTTTTACTGGGACTTCATTACATAGATATGATAGCTTGATTGATTGCAAATGTGGTTGAACTCAGTCTCCAGTTTGACTAATGTCACATGACCCAAAGTCCCTGCTCCAAGTCATATTGTTCATATCGATGGTATGGCCAGTACCTATCCTCAGATCTAGCGTGGGCAGTCCCCAATCTAATAAACAAAGACTCTCTTATTAAGTATTGTGTATATTTACTTCCAGAAGCCAGGAGCGAAGGACAGACCTCTTTTAGGGCAAAGCCAAATTTTTTAGCACACATCTGCTTAATTAGTTTCAAATATTGTTAGTTTCAAATATATTATTTACCACCACTGTATGTAAGGTTTTTACCTCATGTCTTATATGGACCTCGGCCTCAGTTATAAATTCAGGTCTCTTATTAATCAAATTTGAGTCCAGCTAAATCCCTTTGAAATACGAAGCATGAAAAAAGATCAGCTGTTAATCACCATATTGTATCCTTTTCTATATCAGGGTATGTTCACAGTCATTCTAAGTATAAATAAATTCAAGCTCATTATGCTACTCTTCTGTGTCTTCTATGGAATGTTGTCACTCTCTGCATCACTCACTATCTCACTATAAAGACATTATGTGTAGGAAAAAGAAGCAAAAGCACAGAGTATTTAATATTGTTGGCACTGTGGCATGGTATAGAGTAATGATTCTGTTCTTTTGGGCTTTGCAACTTTGCTTAAGTTATACTATGTTCTGAGTTTAAGTTTCTTCAAGAAATGAGCATAGCATTTTCTATAAAATATAATTATTGAGTGGGATAAAGGAAGTCACATATGCGTGAAATATTGAAGGTGTCAAGCAAATATTTTTCTCTCCAATATCTTCCCATTTTACTTATCTTACCTCTTCTTGGATTGCTGATATGCACTATATTATTCTCTACCCCGATTTTCCAGGTCTTAACTCAATTTCTTTTAATTCAAATTCCAATTTTAAATACACATTGCACGAACTTGCTGATTGGAAACACTTACCAAGGTTTCTTCCTCTGTCTTAAGGAGTCAAGTAACAACTGTGCATTCAGTTCTTGAAATATATATAAATGACTTAGAATACAGCTTCAATGCACCATGAAAAATGTTAACAAAATGTCGGTGTGTGTGCTGGGATGGCAGATTTTTAACGAAGTCTCCAAGTGCCACAAAGTCTGAGACTTTGAGATTAAAGTGAACAGTAATTCCCCTTTGTTATTGTACCAGATGAAGGGAAGCTCAAGGGAAATCTCAGTGAACCCTGTGCGCATTACTTGTTCAATTTCCAGTTCTTGTTATTTCAGGTAATATTTATAACAGGTCTCATTTTATCTTTTTCTTTCCTTCCTTATTTCTTATCTTCCTGTCTCTCATTCTGTGCGTTTCATGGATTATTCCTTTGGGCTCTACTAGGCATCCAATATGACCATCAACTCTTTACTTATATTGGCAAAATTCATATAACACAAAATTAACCATTTTAAATATTTTGAAGTTTACAATTCAGTGGCACTCAATGCACTCACAATTTTGGCAACTGTCACCACTATCTCATTCCAGAAGTTTCTCATCACTCAAAAAGTGAACCGTGTACCTATTAAGCAGTCACTCCCCATTCTTTTCTTTTTCCAGACCTTGAAAACCAGTAATCTACTTTCTGTTTCTGTGCATTTTCTTTATTAAATTTATTCTGGATATTTCATATAAATGAGATCATGTACTATGTAGGCTTTTGTGTCTGCCTTCTTTCACCTATCAGGATTTCAAATTGTTCAAATTTCAAATATGTTGCAGTACTTCATTTCTTTTTATGGCTAAATAAAACTCCATTGTATGAATATATCACATGTGAAATATTCATCAAGTGATAGATATTGGATTGTTTCCATCTTTTTGCTATTGTCAATAGTGCTGCTATAAACATTCTTGTACGTATTTTAACACCTGTTTTCAATTCTTTTGAGTATATTTCAAGAAGTAGAAATCTTGGGTGTTAGGCCAATTCTACATTTAACTTTCCATGAAAGTTCCAAACTATTCCATAGTGACTGCCTCAATTTACATTCTCCCCAGCAATCTATGAGTATTTCCATTTCTCACATCCTCTCTAACACTTGCCATTTTCCATTTTTAAAGTTATTATAGCCCTCCTAGTAGGTGTCAAGTGATGTCTCATTGTCTTTTTGATTTTCATTTCCCCAATGACTGATGATATTGAGCATCTTTGCCTGGGCACATTGGCCATTTGTACATCTTTAGATAAATGTCTGTTGAAGTAGTTTGCCCATTTTAAAATTGTTTTTACGGTTTTTTTTGGTTGAGTTGTATGAGTCCTTCTTTATATATTCTGGATATTAAACTCTTATCAGACATGTGATTTACAAATATTTTCTCCCATACTATGGGTTGTCTTTTCACTCTCTTGATAGTGTTATTTAATTCACAAATGTTTTTAATCTTAAAGCTTCATTTATGAATTTATAATTTGTTGTTCTGTTTTTGTCGTCCTATATAAGAAGTCAAATCTGATGTCATGACTTACCCTGTGTTTCATTCTAAGAGTTTCATTGTTTTAGTGACATTTAAGTTTTTTATTCATTTTAATTTTTGTGTGTATATATATATACATATATATATAGTGTTATTTAAGAATGCAATTTCACACTTTTGTCATGTGCATACCCAGTTGTCCTTGCAACATTTTTAAAAAAGTTTTATTAGATTTTTAATTGATAAATAATAATGGTATATGTTATGGGGTGAAATGTAATGTTTTGACATATATGTACATTGTAGAATGATCAAATCATGCTAATTAGCATATCTGTCACCCAGATATTTATCATTTCTTTGTGGTGACAGCATTGACAATCCTCTCTTTTAGCTGTTTTGAAACATATAATTAACTATTTTCTAAAATTTCAACTTTTATTTTAGAAACAGGGGGTACTTGTGCAGTTTTGTTACATGGGTTTGTTGCATGATGCTGAGGTTTGGGATATGAATTCCGTCACTCAGGTAGTGAACATAGTACCTGATAGGCAGTTTTTTAACCTGTTTCCTCCCACCACCCTTTAGTAGTCCACAGTGTCTACTGTTTCCATATTTATGTCCATGTGTACTCAATATGTTCTTCCATTTATAAATAAGAACATGAAATGTTTTGTTTCCTTTTCCTATGTTAATTTGCTTAGAATTATGACCTTCAGCTCCATCTCTGTTGCTGCAAATAATATGATTTCATTCATTTTTATGGCTGCATAGTATTCCATGGCATATATATATATATATATATATGTATAGTGTTCCATGGAATACTATATATATATATATATATATATATATACACATACACACACACACA